ACCAGAGGAGTGTAACCAGCCCCGCCGACGGGTACACAAGGTGAGCTCTCAGCAACCCCACGGTTATTGGAGTACCCCCTCCGTTAGTCGGCAGTCCAGTGCGTGTCAGAGTGGATCGCAACGCGATTTTGTGACAACCACCCCACCACAAAAGTCTGTGACGACGGTGCACCAATTCCTGAACTAGACCTCGTCAGATATGCAAGGGGCTCCGGGTACAAGCAATAGCTACGATGTCGGCGTGTCAGCTCTAGGAATTGACACGCTCGTGATGGGACAAAAACTCACAGAGGGCTCCGTAATAAGGCGTCGAGATAACACGGACGGCTCCACTCTGAGAGTTGACGACGCAGCAAGCGGTGCTGGCGGTTGCAAACATCCAGCACTGGAAACACTTGCATGCTCACGTACAGCTGGGCTGCACGAAGAAACGGAATGCAATCAAGCCGGGCTTGATCATTCGTTTCCGCGGATAGAATCCGGCGACGGTTATAATAACGGAAATCCGTCAAGGGTGGGCCTGTCCGTGGAACAAGTGAAGACATCGGAGAAGGCGTCGAGCGTCGAGCGTCGAGCGTCGAGATGTTGAACGTCTTGACGAGGACTTGTACTGGATTTCAGTACAGGTCAATGTCATTGGAGAATCCTCCGACGAGTGCGTCGGGGTTGACGTCGCTTCCAGCCATGGGCTGGATGCGCTTCGCGAAGGACCTGTTCGATGGACACATCGAACAGATATGCATCCTTTCAGACATTGAAAGGATGAAGAGCGAAGCGGAGGAGTTGAGAGTTGAGAGAACTCCACGCTGCGAGTACAACTGAGAGTGAGGACACTCTCAGTGCGACGACGAAGAAGTAGCGCTTCGAAGAGCATAGCTGGGGCTCACTGAAGTCGAGTCCCTTCTATGATGTTCTGCTGGAGCACAAGAACGTGCTCCCGGAAGAGATTCCTGCGGAACTTCCGCAGGACAAGGGAATATAACAAGTGGTTGATCTCGTAAGTCCCCACACAGTGCACCAACGTTCTGTGCCAAGAACCCACAGGGCAGACGGTGCATTGTGGTGCAGCGGTGTCAGTCAAATCTGATTAAGGCAGATCACCGTTCACACATTTCGCGCAGACGCCCAATACCGGAGGGGGTTCCCAACTATCCGTGATCAGCTGAAGTAGGTTATTTTGTTGTATATGTTGGTGGGCGGAATCCATTCTCCGAAGGTGTCCAATATGTGTAGAGTTGACCGTCCTGGCGGGGACCGGGTGTGTGGGGCAGCGCGAAAACTGTTCGCTTTGTGCCGGAGTATTCGATCTAGATCGAGGCCCTGATCGACTCTGATCGGCTCCGATATAGCGTGTAACGGGGTTACACGCAAGTGGCTACATGTAGCCACTTGATTACGACAATGGGTTTCACATTGGTGAGAGATACACCAATGGTTACATTTGACAGACCACTGGTCTGTGTGCATTTAGATTTCCTATTGGTTGAAAGGCGATCTCTTTCAACCAATTAGCTTAGCAGGATTCTGCCAACCACTCGGTGGCAAATACCTTTCATTTAGAATATCACTTTAGGAGGAAACCCAAACACAAAACATAAACATAAATAACAGTTCTCAATTTTACGGTAAATCGGCTTTTGCTTTTCATATTTAAGTAAATCTAAACTTACGAGACTTAAGTATAGTTAATCTAAGTTTAAGTAAACTACGCTTCCTCATACACGTGCGCTAACGTGTAAGCCGAAGTAGTTGACACACAGCGAGTCCATTACACCGTGTATGCAAAGATAACGTACACCCTTATCCCGTTATACCTGGTACCACTTAGTCGTCCTTCCAACGACCAAGATCAAGATGACCCACGTTCTGTCGTCTGAAGGCATGGGGGTAACACTAGAGCATGAGAACTTTCCCCACCTCACGCGTATCGAGCGGGAAGCCCTCCATCGACTCGCCGTAACCTCCGTTGAGTCCGTCGTCATGTTCGCTGCTGATTTCAGCGACTCCGGAGCGGCACAAGAATTCATGGAACGCGAGCTCGGCAGCGCACAGCGGCGAGTGTCAACTCCCTCGCGCTTCATGAAGAATGATGTGATCAATATTGAAACCTCCACGTACTCAGGCGTTGGGAACGATCGTCTTCCGCTAAACCGCTGGTTTCGCGAGATCGACATCACGATCAAATCGAGATTACTCGAGTCGGAGTCCGCAAAAGGGAACTTCCTACTCTCCCGGTTGAGTGGGAAGGCGAAGGAGTGGGCCCTCGGTAAAAAGGTTACTTCCCCAGAGACTTTTCCGACGTTGAAGGCTCTTCAAGAAGCTGGCGTTCGAGCTGCCCCAGGACGAGTCGAGAACGCGCACGGCGTTCTTTCCCCTGAAACAAGGGGAAATGCCGGTGCGCGACGATTTACAGAAATGTCGTCACCTAGTGTCGTGCATCATCACCAATCCGATCGATGATGCATCACAGGTTCACGTGTTCGTCTTCGGCATGCGCGAGGGCATGACGAGATACTGCCTAACGCGAGCAGAGCCGAAGACCCTCGAGGAAGCCTTCGCCATCGCACTGCGTGAGGATTATACGGTGTCGTCATCGTACGGCAAGGCGCTGTCGGAGGAGGCTCGGGTGTCGGTGCCCGAGCTTATGAAGATTGATGTAATCGAGGCATCATCACGCGGTGGTGGCCCACCGTATCGGAACAACCGCGGTGGTCGAGGGCAAAGCCCACTGATATGCTTTCGATGTCGAAAGTAGGGTCACCATGCAGCAGTGTGTCGCGTACCTGCCCCTGCCTTAGCCCAAGCAGCGGTCGTCAGAGACGTTGAAGAAGCCATCCCAACCGCACAGCCAAAAATACGGTCGAGACCAGTAGGTGCGGGGCGGTCTACTGGCTGGAATGGAGGTCCAGGTCCCCCGGTGGCAGCCCGACCTCCTAGCCCCTCTGTACTACAATGCCACCACTGCCAACGATGACACGAGACTGATTTTCGTCAGTCTACATATCGAAGGCGCGCGGCGTCCTCTCCGCGCGCTCCTCGACTCAGGCGCAACGAATATTTTTCTCCGCGCGTCGTGTCTGCCGCTACTTCCGTCGAGCGTAGCTGTCAGGAAATGTTCGACGGATGTCGTTGTTAAGTTGGCTATGGTAAGTCACACCGTGGAACGCGGCGTGACGTGTCGCTGTCTTACACTTTTGACGGCTTCACGAGCAGCGACGGGTTTTTGGTGATTGAGATGAATTACGCCTTTGACTGCATATTGGGAATGCCGTGGCTAGCACGATACCAACCGGAAATCGACTGGCCAGCACGATCGGTTAAACGCCGTGCTGATTTCGACGTCAGTGAAGTTTTCGCGCATCTCTTGGTTGCACCAAGAGATTGGCTGAACGTCACAATAGTGGACAAGACATCCACGTTACAATCCATACATCGAGTGAGCGATGGCCCTCCTTGTATGGCTTCCTCCGTGTCGATAAGTGAAGCCAAAGGTAATAGAGGATCCTTGTTGGTGAGCATGTGTTGCTCCCGAAGCTGAACGAGACGGTCGAACATGTGTTGTGAACCAACTTGTCGAGCAAATGTGCCTCCCAACGCGAAGGACGGCGGTCGAGCACGAGGTGCTCCCGTCATCCGACGACGAGAATTCGTCGGCCTCGAGTTCGTGCTCGAGGCAGTTGAAGAAATCAAAACGCAAGAAGAGCTCGCGTGGGTGCCTAAATAGGTCACGCTACACTCCATCTTGTGGGGGGGGATGATGCTGATCGTGTCGAAGTGCTGTCCGTGCTGGAGTTCTCCACCAGCACGCTGAATCAGCTTCGTTCCAGTGAAGTTGGAAGCCCACCTTCCGATGCTGCGTTGATTACCAGTCTCCCGGGTTTGTCATGGAAACACTTTCTCCGGGACTTAAAGGCAGGAGAAATCGAACAAGTCTGTATGATAACCGACGGCGACACTTCTCCCGTTGCACTGAACGCGGTCAACGACGTGACGGAGTCGTCACGATCAGCGGCGGCTGAGCCAAAGTCGGGGCGAGAAGAGCGGTTTACGGCTCAGTCATGGTCCGCTCTCAAAGCTTCAGGCAACCCTGTGTACGAACTCGCCTGCGAATTTGCAGACGTATTCCCTGAAAACCTTCCAGCCGAGTTACCCGCCGATCGAGGCGTTCGACACGAGATCAATCTCGTGCCAGGGTCGAAGTACTGCGTGACACGGCAGTGGCCACTACTGCGAGACCAATTTCAAGCCATCGATGAATTCTTTAAGGGACGCCGCAAAGCTGGTCATGTCCGTGGGAGCATCTCGCCACATTCAAGTTCCACCTTTTGTGTGAAGAAGGCAACCGGAGGCTGGCGCATCGTTCACGCTCTCAGTAAGCTGAATGACGCCACAATTCCTGCGCAGACGCCAATCCCTTGGAAGAACATGGTCCTAGACTCCATGTCTGGTAGCGAAGTCTTCAGTGCGATTGATCTGACTGATGGATTTTATCAGATCTTGATGAGGGAGAGTGATATTACGCTCACGGCGGTCAGTACTCCCAGCGGCATGCTCTGGGAGTGGCTCGTCATGCCCCAGGGATTGAAGAGCGCTCCAGCGACGTTCAACAGGATGGTTTCACACGTTCTTCGGCCGCTTCGGGACTTTGCACCCAGCTATTTTGACGATATCTTCGTGCACAGTCGCGCTGAGGACGGCCTCAGCGCTGTCGCAGTGCTTCTCCACCATCTTCGTCAAGTCTTCCAAGCGATGCGGGACAACAAGTAGTACGCAAATCTGAAAAAGTGTGTCTTTTCCCCGATCCGTCCAAGCCGTTCTACGTTGTTTGCGATGCTAGCAACTTTGCCATCAGTTGCGCGCTCATGCAATTTGATGAGGGCCATGAGGGCGTCGTGAGCTACCAGTCTCGACAGATGAAGCCGGCTAAGAAGAACTATCCCGTCCACGATAAGGAGCTCCTTGCAATGCTTTCGCTCTGATCAAATTCAGAATGTACTTGCTCGGCGAAGAAACCTTTGCGGTATACACTGACCACGCATTGCTGAGAACTGCGATACGAAGCCCGCATTTGTCGCAGCGTATGGCTTGATGGTTGTCGTTTTTCTCGGAGTATAACTTTGTGGTGCACTACAAGCCCGGCAAGAACAATATCCTTGCCGATGCCCTTTCGCGACGTCCTGATTATGATCCGAGGGTCTTGTTGGGTCATCAGACTAATCTTAACGACGAAGATGATGAGAATTGCGCTGTTTGTGTTGCGCTTGGGAATGAATTCCACCATCGCGACTCCGGAGTTGTCCATCCAGGAAGAAATTGAGGCGGCCTATGCTGACGACCTCTTCTACTCCGCCATCATCAACCTCCTCCGTTATCCCAGCGACAAGACGCTGGCAGCGCTTACGCGTCCGACTCGAACTCATTTCGAGCGGTACCATCTTGACGGCGATCTGTTGACGTACTCTATCGACACGTTCGACGCTCCGCGGGTCGTCGTCCCCGCTCCCGACGACCTTCGTGCCCGCATCCTGCACGAATATCACGACGCACCCGTTGGCGGACACCTTAGTCGTGAAAAGACGTTCGCTGGCCTGTCGCGTGGCTTCTATTGGCCTCACATGTACAAATGGGTTCGTAAGTGGATACGCTCGTATCAAATTTGTCAACGTGTTAAATCTGCGGGCTCTGGCCAAGCCCCGCTACGTCGGTTGCCCATCGCCACCGAGTCGTGGCGATCCGTTAGCATGGACTTCATTTTTGGCCTCCCACCTGACAAGCAGGGACGCACGGGTGTCCTGGACTTCGTTGATCGTTTCAGCAAGACGGTTCATCTTGCCGCAATCACCGCCCAAGTTACCGCTGAACAAACTGCGTCCTTGTTCCTTGACTGTGTATTCCGGCATTACGGGCTGCCAGAATCTATCGTGTCGGACCGTGATCGTCGTTTTACATCCGCTTTCTGGAGTTACTTGTTCAATCTGCTTGGAACGCGCCTTCTCATGTCGACGGCAGCCCACCCCGAGACGGATGGGCAAACGTAGCGCGTAGATTGGGTTCTTGAAGACGTTCTAGACAGTTACGCGACGTCGTTCTCGTCGTGGAGTGATTTTCTGCCACTTGGTGAGTTTGCGCTGAACAATGGTGTTCACGCGTCGTCTGGCCTGATCCCATTTTTCGCTAACAACGTGCGGCACCCGCGCGTTCCTGCGCCGCTTACTATTCACCGGTCGGATGACGCGGCGGGCTCCGCTCTTGGTGGGGGAGGAAACGCTGGGCGAAGCACAGGACCACCGCCTGTATTGACGTCGAGGTCAAGCGGAGACTCGAGATTGAGCACCCCCGAATCGGCTACACCGCAATTGGGTACATCTGAGTCGACTCAAAATTTGAGTATTAGGCCTAATTTATATTTGGGATTTGGGTCAGATCAAAATAAACGCGACCATTCGGCCCACGATCTTTCCAGCCGCGACCCCTCGCTGAACACACGACGAACGATCGACGGCACCGGTGACGAACACCGGCGCGGGAACGCGCGCTCCTGGAACAGCACAAGCAAATGCTGTCGCTTCCCGCATTCACTCAAAGACGCCGCCGAATGCCGCAGCGCCGCCCGCTGTGGTGGCGGCTGCAAACTTTGCACCGAAGGAAGATGAGTCTCCGATCAACTCGGACGCGGTGTCCGAGTTCCGGATTCGTCGACAAGCCATCACACGATTCGTACGTGATGCCCTACTGACAGCGGTCGACAAGCAGAAGGAGTACGCTGACAGACGGGGTCGGAAGAACACATCGCGCTTTCGACGAGACGATCGAGTCTTGCTGTCCACGGATGGCATTCCATCAGCTGCTGTGACGAACTTGGGTGCTAATAAGTTAGCCCCTCGCTTTATCGGACCATTCAAGGTGACGCAAGTGATTGAAGACGCTTACACGCTGGATATACCTAAGTCAATGCGCTTGCACCAGTGTCTCCAAATCGCACAGGCGACTCATCATCACCCGACGCCCCTGTTCCGACTGAGAGGCGAGCCTCTCAGCCGCGTATGCGCGCCGATCAGCAGTCTCCGCAAGTTGATCGGCCTCCCGACGCATGAGGCGATACAGGTTGATCGTCAAACGCTCCACTGCTCCACTCTCCTCGGCTCCACGAGAATAATCCGAATCAGGAAGCCCGCTATCGACGAGACTCGCCGCCGCCACTAGTTGATGTGGCGGGTAACGAGCGCTGGATCGTGGAGAGACTTGTCGACCACGATGTGCGTCGTGGTCGCGAGGGTCCCCCTCGTGACGCTCGCGGTCGTGCCCGTCGTAGCGAAAAATATTATCGTGTCCGCTGGCTTGGCCACTCTCCCACTGGTGGCACGTGGGAGCCACGTAGTCGCCTGCTTAAAGATGTTCCCGAACGACTACGAGGCCTCGCTCGTGGCGGCGAGCGTGACTGCTGTCGTTATGAACAACTACGCTCCCGACAGCGACTTCGGCTGCGCAGACGTCAATGTCGACGCGATACCCTGTGGTGAAGTGTGTTGCGTAACCCCGCCTGCTCCAGCTGCGACCACGATCGGTCGTAGCGACCGACTGCCTGCCGCTCTACCTCGCTCAGTAGCCAGAGATCCAGTAGATGCTCCCATTCAGTGCGAGTCGGTCGATCACGAGCCTCAGAGCAGTTCCCACAGCCTTCCACAAGGTGCACGTAGCAGTTTTGCCACTCGCGCTGTGCCAGCTGACACACGCGCTCCCTCAAATCGCCATAGCGTGGTTGCTCCAATTGCCCTCGCGGTCTTCGAGCCAGAACGTGGAGACTGGCCTTCACGTCGCGCGGCGTTCCAGCGTCGGATGAAAGAGCACCACGAGCGCTGCAGGGCATCGTGTGTGTGTACGCGAAGTTGGTCGTCTTCCCAACCGATAGCGCGCTAGCGAGCGAAGAAGCCCTTCATCGAGTCCAGCGGCTCGGGTTCCTCGGCGTCGTACAAGCTGTAGAGCTCCCAAGGCTTGAGGTCCTCCACCATCACGAAGTACGCTGGAGTGTCCGTCGAGTTTGCACTGGAGCTTGCGGCCTGCATCGTCGCTTGTGTTGTGGTCGCGCGACTGGTTCTTGTCATGCGCGTCGGAGTGCTTCATGCCGTTGTCGAGATTATTCTGTGTTTGCAACTAACGGGACTGTTAGTGCTACTTCGAGAAGGGGGTGATGTAATGGCCCCCATTGCATATATAGGTGATCAGCTTGTCTCGGTTGGACTGACGCTTCCTAGCCACCGTGTATGCAAAGATAACGGACACTTTTAGCCCGTTATACAGGGCGCGTCCCACAGCTGTTATCCACGGTCCTACCATATTCGGGCATCTCGATCTCCCATCTCCTGCGTCTCGTTCACTCTGGGTAGGCCTCCAACTTGGACTCCAGAATTTTTGCCTGCGCTTCACTACAGGATCGTTCATGTGTATAATAAGCTGAACAATACGACGATACCGGCGCAGACGCCGATACAACGAAAAGATGTCATCTCCGATTCGATATCCAAGTGCACCATCTACCAATATCTTGATCTGAGCGACGGCCTCTATCGAATTCTCTTGTGTGAGCGAGACGTCTCTCTGGCGGTGGTGTACACTCTAAGCGCCATGATTTTGGGTGTTCGTAGTGCCGTAAAGAGTGAAGAATATCTCTGCTATATTCGATAGGTGCATGACGCATCTATGGCGCTCGGTGCGTGACTTTGCGCATAGCTACTTTGACGATGTATCCGCTCGTGGCCGCGTTGTAAACGAGAAGTCGGAAGTTGAGTTACACAAAAAGCACCTCCGTCAGCTGCTAGGGCTTATGCGTAAGCATAAGCTCTATGCGAACCTGAAGAAGTGTATCTTCGGGGCGAGCGAGATACCCGTCCTTGGGTGTCTCGTTGGGAAGAATAGTCTACACCCTGACCCAGAGAAGGTCAGAGTGATCAATGAATGGCCTACGCCATCCAATGTGAAGGAACTGAGGCAGTTCCTTGGGCTTGCAACGTACTTGTGCAAGTACGTTGAGAACTACGCGGGCAAGATTCGCCAGCTGTCGCAGCTTCTTAAGAAAGAAGCTGAGTGGAACTGGACTGCTGAGTGTCAGCAGGCCTTTGATGTAGTCAAGCAGGGCTTGACTAAGGCGCCGGTCTTGGCAGTGGCTGACCAAGACCGCCCGTTCCACGTCGTGTGTGACGCATCCGACTTTGCTATCGGATGCGCGTTGGCGCAAAACAACCACGACGAGCGTGGTCGTGTCAATCGCGCCAGTAAAAGCCAGCTGCGAAGAGCTATCTGGTACATGACAAGGAATCACCTTGGCATGAAGTATCAGGGCGGGCATGCAGCGAAGAAGCATTCTGTAAAATGCCAGATAGAGCCGTATTATTTGACAGTATTTCCAACATGTACGCGTTGTCATGCCTTTCAAGCGCCGTCAACGGACCAATGAAGCGCGGAGTAAATTTGCTTGTTCCAAAATCCAAATTGGCATGTCGAGACAGGTTCTGTGCAGTTAACAGAGCTAATGAAGCCTTTCTTTATTCAATTGCGTTCCTCTGTCGAAATTGTCTGCATTCATCTTCTGTATACCCATAGAGGCTGCTATACCGTCTTACAAAATCTCGTAATTGCGTGCGAATGAGTTGTTCAGCACGGCTCCCCTCTCCACAGCAGGCCCAGCCTGCTCGATGTTGATGGTGGAAGGCCTATAAGCATCACGAGCCATCTAGTCTCGATGGCTCAACGGTGACAACGAAGCAGCGCGAGCCAGCTTCTAAACTGGGATAACGCAACGAGCAGCCTCGTCCGTTCCATCCCAAGTTCAACTTGGATGTTTTAATCGATTAGAGTGGTTACAGCGACTTGCGCTTTTTGTAGCGCAGCTCATATTGCAAATCGGCGTGCTCCGCGCTCTGGGGCCGCTCAACGGAGACGTCACGATCGCGTAGAGCGTGGCTGCCACGGTAAACCCAAGTTGGCCACGGATTTTCTGATCCAGTAGGTTCCTGAAATGGTGAGGGCGTACGAGGCACGAAACCAAGTGCAGGCATAGTGCCTGCACTAGCGCTGCGATCACCACCTGGACTGGGTGCATCGCGTTACTTGAGTTGAATGAGAAAGTTTCGAAGCGGCGTAGGTACACACGCAAGCATGTATCCGAAGCCGTAGTGCAAGCATGAGGTTACAGGTAGAAGTGCGCACGGGTTTCCCGCCTTCATAACATCATTATAGAGACGGCCGACAATGTAACGCGTAGAGATAGTCGTGAAGCACTGGTGTCTGGGTCAGTGTTGAAGTTTTCAATAAAGGCGTTCCAGGATTAACAAAGTGGCACCTACTCAGGAAATTTGCTTTGCGCGAAATTCTCTTCGACGCATTTTATCGGAGATCGTGGAAGCGTCCGATTTAATAGCCACGCCTTTGGGTCGTTTAACGGATCAAAATGTTGGTTGGTAGCTTAACCTTCATCCACGATGGCGCTGCACACGGACAAAAGTACCTGGGCCGTGGTGGAATCGTCGTAATGCGAGATGCCTCGAAGCTATACATCGATTTTCACTAGATCCGGAAATTGACTTGCCATTTTTAGTACCAACGAGGTTTTGCTTGATCGTTTGGACCGTGTCTTCATGAGTCTTGATCCCGTAGTCCTTGGCAGAACCGCTAAACGCGTCAGCACTTGCCACAACGAGTAAACAGGAACTTGGAAGCGAGTTCTATTGCGCGCTGTGCCACAGCTTCATCAACAGAAACACGATTGTAGACGAAACGGTCTTCACAAACTAGTCTCCGCGTATCCTCGTATACGTTTAAATATATTTTGTTAACACCACGTGGGCTCCCTCTGTTGCTGGCTTAGTTGGCGGTTTTCCTAACTGTTCTTCAGCTCATTGCAGCCGTGCTTAAAGTGTTTGAGCTCCTTGCAATAATAGCAAACATGCTTTTCTTGATTTATTTCATCGACGGGAGCATAGTGATCAGGCTTGTATGTGCGGTTGCGAAATCGTTTTTTTTTATTTTGCTGTTAAATGGGCTTTGGCTTGGCGGGCCATGGATCCGTTGCTCTTGATCAGGTTTCTAACGATTAGGTTTGCGTTTACCGCCAAAGTGCGCGATATACTAGTTTACAGTTTGATCTATCACTTCTCTCAGGATCGTCGAGTTATGAAGCTTGACGTTAGCTTGGATCGCGCTGTTGAGACCTTTACGGCAGTAGCTTACTTGATCGACGCCACTGGTATCCGCAACGCTGAAGTTCAATTACGAGTACTTCCAAGTGTACACCTCGATGCCACTGACCTGGTGACGTTGGCGAAACATGCGGCGCAGCATGACTCAGTAGTTGGAGGATGTAATGTATGGGAGGTCGACAAGTTTGCACGTATCCAAGAAAGCTCAACCTTCAGCTTTAACCCGACTTTCTCCGCTGTGTTATGGGTGGCGTTGCGTGTCGTGTCAACAAGTGCTAACCGTATATTAAACTGTCCTTGTGGCAAGGAGGGGGTGGTGGAAAAGATGCGGAGAAGTCCACGAGGATGAGTCTCTCCCCGACCAAATGTTCAGCAGCCAATCGTGTGGCTGTGGGAGCCCCTATATTTAGTAGTATCCTGCCTGAGAGGATACAGCAATAACTGATATTTCTCTGGTCCATTAAAAAATTAACCGTTCACTAAAACCTGTGATAACTTCCGTTCTAACAGCTCAATGTAGCTGTAATGAGGTTCAGTATGAAGATCTTTATTGGTACTACCACAACTTATTTTCCTTTAATGCGCGTTCCCGCCATCAATGTCAATACATACCCAGGCAATTAAACTATTGCTCTATAGGGGACAACGTTTTCTTTTTCCACAGTATCATGAGATATAATCGGACTCAAATTTAACAATGTCTACGAGAAAGCGGAAAAGGAGTTTAATCCAGCAATATACCACTGGAAACAATCCGATTTATGATCGTTTCACAAACAGTCAATTAGCTCAAAATAAAATCCTTTAATGATCGATTTTTATCCAATCATATAGGTCAAAGAACGAACACGAGTTTTTGTTTAATGAAAAACTGTTAATTCTTCTCATGAATGGAGAAGTACTACTACTACCCTAACATACTGCACATAGATGGGTTTGTATTTTTTTAGAACCGTCCAGTAGTAGTACAAAAGCTATAATTAAAGGGCTAATTTCCATAAATCGAAAAACTCGCCAAGCAACAACGCACATGTTACAAGAATCTGCTGTTATCTAGTTACCTGAAAACCTAGCTCATTTCCCGCCCGATGATATCTGCGTCTACGTCCGCCAAAGTTAGATGCTGTTATGCTCGCGTGCCATGAACAGTTTCCCATGACACTGTAATGGGAGTTCTAATGTGTTGCCAGTATGAGCGGAACAGAGTATCGAATCAAAAAGATCGTTACTGCAGCACTCATCATGGTTGAGAAGTCCTAGTCTGATTTACGGGTGGAGATCTGAAGAGACCACCGACAGCAGATGAAAGCCGCAAAAGCGATCATTGTTGTGGTCCGATGCACATGCTCGATTCTCAGCAATAGTACTCCCAATAGCAAATCTATAGAGCGGATTCGTGGGATCGCTTGCATCACCGCTGAGATGTGGCGCCAAGACGTGGTGGGTCATAGGCTGCGCTGCACTTTGACGCGATCGATATCCATACTATGTTGAAGTACCAATTCGTACAGAGTTTTTTACGAGATTATTTACGTCTCGTGTAATTACGCCGTATCCCGTAGAATATCGACTGGTTAGGATTGATTGTTGGTAGAATACCTGGTAGAATAGCCTCACTTTCCTTTTGGTAAAGCCACTGAAGAGGCCCCGGCAGGGGCCGAAACGCGTCTGGCACGCGACCAACATGGATTGTCATTTCACCTACGTTTCCTCGCTTTAAGATACTAGATACTGTTTTGAACAACATATTCTGGTGGTTTGCGGTGTTAACACCGAGCTGCGATACGCCCCCATCCTCTCTGATAATACACTTCAACATGGCTACATTTGACATTGTCAAGTTGTGACTGAAATGTCCACACCCAAAGAGCGCATACACTGCAATACCGTGTACATATACTCAAGTTTTACTTACGAGTCTGGAGCGCTCTGATGAAGCTGACACCCAGGAGCTTTGCGAGGGATAGCCTTGAGCTGGTGCTGGTATTTCCATACGGGACGACGGGCATCGACCAGCGTCAAGCGCAGTCGACATGGCCGTGCAAATGCGCCCACACCTTGGCCACATCGGGTTGCGCAAAAAGATGGCGAACGTAAGTAAGCCCTGCCAAGCAGCGGCAGAAGCAGCAGCTGCAACATGTTGACGCGTTGGATTTGGAGCGACAAAAGCCTGGTAATTATGAAGGCCGACAACGGAACATCATTAAACTCGAGGGCCTCTTGCCATTGCTCTCTAAATGGCGATGCATGTATCCAGCCAGGTATATATTGTAATCGAAAATTTACGCAAGAAGGGCTCAATGTCAACAGCTTCATAATCAGCTGAGCATGTCGAAGTTCGTGTCACATCATCAGGAATTTCACCAAGATTGGGTATCCATACGATTTGTGGACATCTGGAACCCGCTCGGGGGCCTTTCTTTGGTCTGATTCTTTTACTCATAGCCGGGACGCGTTCATAAATGAGATCCTAAATTAGGTCCCCAAATGGGCACATCAACCTCTTTTCTGGTCTATGCTGAAGACATACAACTCGAACCAAAACTTTTTTTTAGCATGTGAACTCTCACGCAGGAACTATCCCATTACCTGCAACGAAAGATGATGCACCTGTCCCCGTACGTAATCAGCAAGGGACTCAGAGACCTTCACACTGTGAAGTTCACAGAGGTTTTCATATACCACAGTAGCTGTCACAATTTCCGAGTTAGGAGTTTCTATTCTATGCAGCGACATCGAAGACTATGTAGTTGTACCCATTCGACGACAACATCGGATCATTCTCAATCTATTTGTTTTATTGTTGCATACAGGGAAACGTGAAAGAGTTCGCCTGAGCTTTGCATATTCAGTGCTGGTATTCACAATCAGTGTTGCGCGAATACCATAGCTCCACATACTCAATCGGACCGAAATTCATCGAGTAAACTTGCTTGACCTCTTTTGGCAGCTAAACCCGTGCATCTGAAATGGGCCAGCCTTTCTCGAAAAATGGGTAGTGGGCGACTAGTGCATAACCGAGGCAGTGGAGGACAAAGTCGCTCTCGGAGCGACAGGGCGCAGGGCTGGTTGCAAATTTTGGGGGGGGGGGGGGGGTGGTGGGGGGGGGGGGGGGGGGTGAGTTGGCTGCAGCGACTTTGTCTTCATTTCTCTTCTTGCCGTCTTCCCCGCAGGCACCTCCGCGCTTGTACATCAACACCTTCAACCACGAGTGTTCTCACGCCCTACATGCGCATGCAAATGACGCCGTCGTCCGCACTGAGCGGCGCCGAGCCTGTCATATATGCGCCCAAAGCGGCGTTCACGTACCGCCGCATTGACGAAGAGGATGCGTCCCCCGCGCATCTTCCCCATCCTCCTGCCCCGTCGACCTCGGGTGTTTTTCAGCCGTGGTCTTCTGCAACGGACGCCAAGCCTGAGTCGACTAACGTTGTGTCGGCCCCCATGCAGACGCAAGAGTTGACGTCCCCAGTCTCGGCTAAAAGTCCCAAGCAGTCCAAGCGCGACCTGTTCGTGTGCCCCGAGGTGCACTGTGGCAAGCAGTTCCCACGTTCCTTCGCATTGCGGCGGCACATGCGTATCCACACAGGCACGAAGCCATACGCCTGCGACTACCAGGGCTGTGCGCAGCGTTTCAACACGTCAGGCAACCTTAGTCGCCACAAGCGCATTCACAGCGGTGAACGGCCCTACCCGTGCTTCTTCGAGACGTGTGGCAAGCGCTTCAACACGAGCACCAAACTCAAACGACACATGCGTATTCACTTTCCAGACGGACAGAACCTCTTCCGGTGTACGGAGCAGGGCTGTTCATGGGCTTGTGACAACTACAAGGAGTATGTACAGCACCAAAAATTGCACGGCAGTGTGGCTGAGGGATTTAACAACACCTCGGACGAGAATATCAACGCTAGCAACGGCAATAGGGAGAGCCCCAAGGCGACACGTGTAATGCCCTCGCCCATGGGCGTCATGCATCCGGGCTCCGAGCCTCGACACGTCGAGTTCCCGCAGCACGTACAGCCGTCAGTTATGAACGACGACTTCTACCAGGACCGCAGGATGTACGGCAATGTCCCCAACCCACCGATGATGATGCACAAAGAGTCCCAGCAACGGGAAGAACAAGCCTATCGCCGCGTTCCAGGCGGGTCCGTCCTAACGTCCAAGTCCTTTATGGACGACAGGACTCAGTCTCAAGGAGCACCGCGCCTTCCATTCCCGACACGTGCCTTCCCGTCCGAGACCGGTTTACTGGGCTCTTCGTTTCATCCTCTGACTCACTTGCCATCGACGTCCTCGCATCGTTACTATGACTCAACAACTGCGGCCAGTTCTGTTGATATGGCTACATCTAGCACTCCGAATTACGTGCCATCGGGCTCGTATGTGTCTAGTCAAGTCCCATACTCGTCGTATGTGCGCGGGGGAGAGAGCAATGTACTTGTGAGTTCGTACCAACCTTCGTCAACGACGACGACGTTCATGACGTCGGAGCCCCAGTACACGCCGTCTATCCGGCAGTACGAGAGTTCGTCCCCACACGATGCTAGACAGCATTCTCCAGCTCAGCAACCGCAATCGCAGCCAGGGTACGGAAACAATCCCGTGCCGGCTGAATTCACTGGAGAGGAGCTCAGTGCTGTGCTGGAGCTAATGAAGGACTCGTGAGCGGAAGGTGGAGAGGACGGAGATGTTTGTTTATAAGCTTGGAAACTCTTTGGAGTGGAAAAGTATTCTAGTTTTTTGAAGTAGTGAGGCAGTTCGAGTGCAAGTGCACAATGTGCCTGCACTTTAATGTTGTAAATAGGATATTTGCTATGACATTGACAACTAAACCGACTGCAATGGCTTCAGCAGATGCAGAAGCGCCACGTGTAACTTCACTTCAACGCAGACAGACGGACGATGGCTTCATTTGACCCCTTCGAGACGAGGATGGGGCATCAGCTTATTAACTCGTTAAGCGCTAGCGGAGCCTGTGCGCGCGGCGTACACTTGACGCACTCGAGCGCCGCCCGCAACTGAAGGATGCGCGACGTTCGTCTGCAGTTCCGTTGACCGAGCCCATCGAGCCCATCATGTTGTCAATAACACTTAGATTAAGTATGAAGCACTCTGACTTGCAGAGACTATGGTCGTTGACGGCTCTTGAAGCGCAACACAACTGCAACTTGCTTGGTTGCTCGTTCAGGGACGCAACAAAACCCGGTCGCTGATTTTTGAAGCAGTGGTCAGAGAGTGGGATGTCAAAGAGAGCTGTAAAGCTGGTGGTGCACCACGTCGACCCGTGACGCGCTTCATCAGCGAATCGTGTCGCGCTTTGAACAGACGATATGATTGGATATTATTTTGATTGACGAATCAGAGTGCGTTAAATTGAGTCCTTAAAAATTTGAGTGTTTGAGCACATTTGGGTTTGAAGCCATGAGTTTTTGGGACCTATAACTTCAACTTGACATTGAAGTGGCCTTTTGAGACCCGCTTCCGACACCACATATACGCTTTTCCTGGCAGCACCCAACGAAGACTGCTGCGAGACAAAACACCAATTCTCTTTATCCCGCTGAGGACATACTGTTTTCTACAAGTTACCAGCAACGCAAAACAGCAACGCAAAATACTCGTAAGCTGTCACGTACCTTCCGCATAGACCAATCGATAGGACGGGAGAGCAACCCAAGCTACCGATACGGCAAATGATGCAAGCCAACTGTATGTCCTCCACCCCAGCTATTCCAGTCCATGTTTTGCGCAAACAGAGTTGACTGCGCGAGAGCAAAAGCGATCGAAACGGGTGTTATCTCCCTGTTTACTTTCGGAACGCCGTTTGCGTTCCAAAACAATTCGAGATGCACAATCCTGTTCCAACAATTCCCCGATTCACCGATATCCTTTCGGACGAACGCACAATTAAATGTAGTTACTACTATTAACAGCCCCAGTCTTATCTTACTTGGATGATGATGGATTGCTATCTTCAGGCCTTAAAAATCGGGCCATGAATTTCCAGATTGCTGGCGCAAGTCAGCCGATACACGTAGCCAAAAGTGAAGCGAAGATGGTTCGTGTTGGCATCTAATCATCTCGGTTCACTAACGCAAACGTCATTGAACCACCGCAATGGCTTCCAAACGCACAACTTTTTCGCGATGCTAGGATTACTAGTTGCGACTATTTACAGAAATGGTTTACGAGCGCATTGAAGCATCAATTGTATCATCCAAAGCGTGAACAAAGCTCCGAACGGCAGTTGATTCATCAGAATCAATCTTCAACAGTTAAGTATCTATCACCGTCACGGTTGATAGCAATAGCATCTACGGGGTTATGCTTAGAGAGACGTCAAGGTTGAGCTATTAGTAAGTATTAGAAGGTATTCACTGTTGTGAAAACCGCTTCACTACAAGAGAATCGAAATCCGACTAAATCAAAAGCGTACAACCTAAAACAGTGATTAGTAAGCAAGGAGTGCTTGCCACAATACTATTGTATTTTCTCTCCACATCGTCAGCCATCCGAAAGCTGTATTCTAGCCTGCAGCTCCCCGTTTCCCTGGTTCCATACATGATGCGGAAAACGAAGCTATGCCGGACTTCCTGTTATCATTCCCATCTACGCTGACCATGTGCTGCAGCTGATTGCATAAAGATTCCCCACTTTGGCAGGCTTTAACCAGTAGTGCAGCCCCAACTTGTATCTCTAGAGAACGATACCACCATTATGTCTGGCGGAAGGCTGAAGTTGTTAACTCCCTTGATGTAGTAAATTGTATTTACACATCACATGGACACTTGTGCACGTTTCGCACTATCCATGTTGCACAATGTGGTGTAGTTATCAGTTTTCGGTGAAATTGCTTCTCCCATAAGGGAGCCTCACACCGAGGCTGACAAGCTTTTAAAGAACTTGACAGAAAACTAAAAATACAAAACATGACCTGATAGGCTGGTGATGAAAACTCTGCTCCGCGGTGGTGTGTATATCGCACCTCAATGGTGGTGGGACTACTTAGCTGTATGCCCCTATACGTTATACGGGCATATAGCACCTACCACCATTGAGGTGTGATATACACACGACCACGGAGTAGAGTTTTCAGCACCATTGAGGCGCGATGTCGTACTTCAAAATTATATTATGACATACAGATGCAACGTTTGGATGGTTCTTGCAATCTATATTTTGTTTGCTGCGCACATCTATAACTATGCCATAGCGAGAGTCAGCACAACTTATTTACCTACGAAGCGAAGCCTCTATCCATAGCAAGATTTCCATCTTGTTCAGCAGGAGGGGGGGGGGGGGGACATCGTTGAAATAGACGCAACGAGAAGATGAAAACTGTATCAGTCATTTCTACCAGTGTTATCCTATTTTGTCCACAAAGAACGAAAGAACGCCACCGCAGTGTAGCGTGATTCATGCTCCGCCATGCTAAAGCGTGAATCTGCAAGACTATCCATTCTCGCAAAAATGATTCGTGTCCATGGCTGCATCATATGGCAGGTTTACTCGCGCGCTACATCGTTGAACGCCATCCTCCGTGTTCACTCTGCGCCACCTGCTGTGGAAATGATCAACTCCAGATGGAGGATAGCGTTACAGCCCAACTCGCCCCAGCACGAGCGGCTCGGATTGCATGACGATACAGCTCTTCATGACTTACCCTGGTGTGCGCGTAGCGTTTACTACCCCCACACGTTACACCGAGAAGCCTGAACGCAACGTCATGGTCTCTACACGTTAGCATTGTCACGCTACCAGTGTGGACAATTCCCACCCAGCGGTCTTGTAGTCTCTCAGGGTGTGTTCGCGTATCGCGAGTGGTGCTTGGGGCCCAAGCTGCGGGTGTCGACATGTTAGACGAGGCCTTCTGCCAAAGACAAGGCAGGAGCGCCGCAACTCGAGTCGACTCGCTGGTCGCCAGTGTCGAGTCGCCACGAGGGACCATGGTGCGCGAGTCACACTGCGACTGCCTCCTCGAAGCAGACCGCTGTGGCGACTCACTTGATCTCTGCCCGGCACCGCAATGCCTGTGCTGCGTCACATGCAGCTGGATTGCATGCTGGGATGTTAGATAACCCGAATAGCGACGGCGTCCGCCCTCGCGACACGCCGTGCGAGACCACGGGCTGCTGCTCCTGCACGAGCAGGAAACGTCGCCACCTTTGTATGTGTGTGCCATGATGCCACCGTCATGTATTATCGATGCCGTTGGAAGCGTGCACTTGGGTGGCGCCGATCCAAGTGACTCAGTACTTGGCACGGCCAGCCGATCGTCTCTAACCCGCGCGGCTCGACAAGAGACCCTGCGCTCGCACTGCTTTTTAGCCGTTCTGGCTGCAGCCGTAATCGCGACTTGGACCAAGCGGTCAGCGAGCGGGTCCGCACCATCACGTCAGTCGCTCTTGTCTCTCGGCCGGGCGGAAAGCGTCCGGATACCCCGAAGCCGTGTCCTCTCTTCATTTTCATTTTAGCCAAGCCGCACTGACTCACGTTTGGTCAGCAGTGCAGAGTCAACCTACTTGCCTTACTACATCCCGCGTCACCATTTAAATCCTCATCAGACCATGTCACCCGCACAACCCCAGGCGCAGGACCCCGCGGACGGCACGACTGTGAAGGAGGTCGCGCCGTTTCTCAAGAGTTTGCGCCTCATGCTAGACAACGAGAGTCCACGCATTCTACGCTGGACGCCCGACGGCAACGCCTTTGAGATCCACGACATGGCCGCCATGACCGGCTACGTGTTGCCCAAGTATTTCAAGCATCGCAAATACGCCAGCTTCCAGCGTCAGCTCAACTACTTCCACTTCCGCAAGTGGACCAAGTCGCGCGCCGTGGTGTGCACATTCTCCAACCAGTTTTTCCAACGCGACCAACCGGCCTTGACGTGGCGCATTACACGCAAGCGCTCGCTGTCGCCGGCCAAGAGCACTAACAAGACACAGCAGGAACAGAAGGAAACGCGGGCACTATCCACTCCGGATGTGGAGTTCGATCCCAAGGTAACAGTGCAGACGGCACTGCCGTCGCAGCACCAGCAGCTCGGGTTGTTTGATGAGGACGCATCATTGGCCTGGATCGACGTCCTGTACCCGGAACTAGACCTGGATCTGCTTGATGACAACGCCCCGACCGACACGGACTGCTTCTTCTCCCCGTCGAACTTGCTCTCGCTGTAAGAATTCCTGGAGCACAACCATTTATTTAACTGCAGCGAGATAGCTCCTATACATTCGTTTAGACTACAGCTACCACTAACCGACGTGGCCTTCACCGCCTACTCGGTACCCCCGGGCTACTTCTAGCTCCGGAGCGTCTTTTACCATAAACTATCCATGTACACGTATGATCAAACATTGTGCTTCATTGACTTGTCAGGACTTCTCTTGTTGTTCTCTGTTTTCCATCGTCAGTGGGCGGTACTAACGCCATCACGAGATGGTGGCGGTCTCCTTATCAAACCTGACTGCGCAACACATCGGCTCCACACCCGAAATCCAGGCAGTGCCGACATGGATCGGCCTCTCGATCCGCAAAGTCGTTTACGGGCAATGCATTATGCAAAACGGCTCATGCATGGTACATGCGGCGCTTGGCCAAGCTATTATACCTGCCTCGTCTCGTTTGTTAGACAAGCCGTGTATCGCCGCCAGAGTGGGACGGTGGACTGTACTCCAGGCTTGAGTCTCAAGCTCCCATACGTACATACATTCATCACGCTGCTTCAGTCCGTTCAAGATCGACATGCCCATAGCGCAGCACAATCTGCGTCAATACGGTGGACACCTGTGCAAGTATACCGTTTTTTCTGAACGTAATTTTGTCCACTAAGACGCACGACAAAACGCCTGATTACGAGCGCACTAGCATTCACAAAACACCGAAAATGAGAGACGGAGCCACTCGGATAGACTAGCAGACATGGCACTCAATCGAGGGACTTACGTGTGAGTCAGCTGACTTTTGCCTGAGTCGCATGGTGCCACACTTCGACCTGATACTTTGAACGCTTCAAGCTCTTTAGAGAGAGTTTTCTGATGTGTGCTCCCAGTACACCGTGTACTACTACGCCTGTGTTCGCTTGCTCGGCGCTGGGGTGCACAGCCAAGGGAGGAATCTCGCCTGCAGGATTGTCGTCAGGGTGGCTCAAGGTACTTTTGCAGCAGTGCTCTAGCCTGCCCTTGGCGTACCAATGGCAGTGCCTTCGCATCATGCACACACACGAATCAATGGTGCATACTACGTAGTATTGTACGGACTCAGCCTCAACGCAGAGACGTCGCTCGTATTTTTTGATACTATCTTGGCCATAGACTACTACACACTACATGTACTCGGTTGTTCTCCAATAAAATAATCTTGCAGACGCATTCAAAATTGCCGTTGTTATGGTAACTCGCTTGGCAAAATACACCGCAGTTGCGTCACAACTCGGTGTAGTCAAACGCGTGATCGCGGAACGATGGGTGCGCTGTGTTGTTGGTCTGCGGTTCGAGTGACGAGTAGAGTACATCGACCCAATGGCATCTAATCATCTCGGTTCACTAACGCAAAC